CCTCCAAAACACATTCTAATCACGCACGTCTCAAATCACCTTTCGAATCTATCCGAATCATTGGAACTCACATCCAAGCCTTCTAACACATAAGTCAACATCCGGTTGACTTTTCCAACTTAAACTTCCTTAAAAGAGACTAAGTGTCTCAAACCTTACCAAATCCTTTCCGAACCCGAGCCAACCGATATTTCTGGAAAAAGAATGGATGTAGACCATACGGTCCTGGGGCCTTAAAAGGTTTGAAAGAGTATATAGCCTTTTTATAATTTCAATATCTAGTAGGGGTGTATCTAAGGATATTAGGTCTAACTTAGGATATGAGGAAGTACTTCCTAGTGGGGCATTCCACTTAGTTGAGGAATAAGAGGTTGTGAAGGTATTTGTAAAGTAATTAAGAACATGTGACATAATTTGGTGATCTTTATTAATCCAATTTCCATTATCATCTTTAAAAAAATTAATTTTGTTTCTTCTTTTTCTATTCGTAGTAGAGATATGGAAAAATATAGTGTTTGCTTCTTTCGTTTAGCTAAAGAATCCTAGACCTTAACTTCCAGTAATCTTCTTCGATTTTTAGGATATCATTATAATCCCTTTTTAAGTCTTGTTCTAATTGTTGAAGAAAAGTACTAGTATTGTAACTATTGTAATTTTGAATTCCTTGAAGCCTAGCCAGTAGCTTCCTTTTTTTCCCCATTATGTTACCAAATGTATTATTCTTCCAAGGCTTAATTTTGTCTATAAAGTTTTTACTGCCTTTCAAATAGTCATTCTTTAGCTAGTTGTTTTCGACTATTGTTTGAAACTCTGGATGCTTGCACAAGAAGGTTTCTAGTTTAAATGGAGCATTATGGTGTTAACCTATTCTTAGGAATTAATTCAATTAATAATGTATTATGGTCCGAGTGGGTTTTGGGTAGATTAATTATAGAACTTTTTGGGAACAATTCAATCTAGTCTTCATTTCCTAAAATTTTCTCTAGACGTTCCATGATGAGACCCTTGTTCCTATGTCTAAGATTGGACCAAGTATACTTACACCCTTTGAACCCTAAATCTATTAAGTTACAAGTATTTAGCTTAGACCAAATAAAATTAGCTCTACTATCTTTGATAGGTCTTCCCCCAAATTTTTCATTTGAAGCTAAGATATCATTGAAGTCACCTCCAACTATCCAAGGTCCTTTGTATGTCTTACTAATATTTACTAGGTTATCCCACATCAAGTTTCTGTTATGGATATTAGTACTAGCATAAATTGAAGAACAGAGCCACTTTTTACGAATAGGTAATACCTCTATTGTTGCATGGATCTCCTGGTTTCTACGAACTGCATTGTGGACACTAACTACTTCATGATTCCACATCATGACCATACCTCCTGATTGCCCCTCCGCTGGAACCTCTATCAATTCCATAAAGCCAAAATCATTAAGCAATTCTGCATGATTCCCCATTCTTGTTTCTAGAAGAGTTACCAAACAAGGTCTATAAGTATCCACCATTTCCCTGAAATTTCTTCTAAGTTGTCATTGTTTCCTCCCCTTATATTCCATATAATAATGTTGGTTGGACGTTGCATGGCTTGATTAATGGTTTAGTTTTCTGGTTCCCCGTTCTCCCTGATCCTTCCTGGAAACACAGGATTCCTTCTCAGTGATGGCACTGGGATCATGGCTCTGTTGGCCACTGTTGGATCCTGAGGTGGTCTGATATCCATCGAACACTTGAAGAGTGCCAGTGGGCAACTAAGCACATGCCTTTTCTCTTGCATCTCTCTGAAGAGAAATACCTTTATCCTATCTAGACTTGAGAACTCTAGGACTCGCTCTAAGTTTAGGTTGATGGGTTCTTCCTCCTCCTCCATTGCTGCTTCTACTGGTCCTGGTATTTGGTTTTCTT